TGAGGTCGTCTGGTCTCATGTCACTGTCTTCCCGTGAGTCTGTTTATGTCTATGAATTGGAAAGCTTTATTCCTGAAGTACGTGTGAGTATACATTTCCCGGTAAAATCTTGATATCGGGTGTTGACATATCATCGGCACGCACGTGTACTATTGTTTACCATGGGCCTGTTCGTTTATGCGGAACAACCGGTTTGACCGTTTATAAATGTAACAATTTCGGGTGTAAATCCTGGCGGACCTGCAAATGTGTATGCAGGCCCTGCAAGGCTTTCTCAAGACTCGCCTGAAAGCAGCATCAGATTACTAGGTCCGACCTTATTTAATAAACGAACAACAGTGGTCCGATCGGTTTGACCGTTTAAACGAAAACGGCCCAGCAGGTGTTACTATAATTTGCACTACGATATTGAATGCCCGATACGCAATACGGAAATGACGACACGGTGTACATGCACATTTCGATTCAGATAATTGAGTACTAGCTGTACTTTTTCCGGAAGTATGTCACGAAAATGGACACTGATGACGATGTGTCGAGCCACCTTAAATGTATCATGAACCAAAACAAATAACCCACAGAAATACAAATATAATTTTCTCTTAGGTTTTGAATTTAAATACATTTTAAATCCCATTCTTAAAAAGAATGATAACGATTTGAGACCCATTTTGTTAACTATGTATCATGTTATATGTTTGTAAGCACTGGGTCTCATACTATCATAAATGTAAACAGATTGGGTCTCATACCATCATAAATGTAAACAGATTGGGTCTCATACCATCATAAATGTAAACAGATTGGGTCTCATACCATCATCAATGTAAACAGATTGTGGCCTTATTTGTTTGGGGATTACTACCACCATCCCTAACATCATTTACTCACAACATCTATGGTTGTGAGAAGATGGGGAAAATGTTCTCCTTCTGAAAATGTACAGCCATCATGAATGAGTATCAAACTTACCTGATCAAATTCTGAGAGTATCTCAGCCTGTTTTTCTTCTGTGTCACTACCAAGAACATCAGTACTCCAAGCATCACTGG